GGTGTCATGATTTCTATGTTCATCCATCACACAGATACAGATGCATTTCCGATCAGTACAACAGTAGATTTCTAGTTGTTTATCATGTTTGGAGCAGATCATCTGCTGCAGTCATCCAGTGGCATCGGTCACTTTGTGTCGTCTACCTGAGTGAAATTCCTCATGGCGCTCAAAGTGAGTTTGACAGTAAAATGTAAGACACACCAGACAGGACTTGACAGCTGTGTGTTTCCTTCCAGTGCAGACGTCACACACCACATCTCCAGGTCAAGCGTAACTGAGAGCGCGAGCTGTTTGGACTTTGGTCTTCTTCAGTTTCTCCACCATCTCAGCAAACACTAAATTCGTGTTTTGAAGCAGGTCTTGGAGTGAATGTCTGTCTGCACTGAGGGCAGCTGTAAACTCCCTTCTAATCATCTGGATTCCAGCAGTCTGTGATGCAGTTCATACAGTAACTGTGTCCACAGGGGATGGTCACAGGATGCTTCAGTAGATCCAGACAGATAGAACAGCTGAACTGATCCTCAGCCACTGAAATACTGGCTTCTGCCATTTCAGAGACACATAAAACAGGGGCGCGTTGTTCGTACGTTGCTAACTCTGTTAGCTGGATTTGATTGTTGACAATTTGGCATGATCTTGGATTATTTGGTTCTTCGAAGCTCATCCTGGCTTGCTGTCATAGCAACAGGTTTGTAAGCTTAAACCTGTTTGGGAGCAGGCTTATTTCATGTAAACAGGATTAGATTTCCTCTTTTTAAGTGGAATTGATATTTAAAATCTGTCCCAGCCACTGCTATTTTATTACAAGAGTACCCTACTAATCCGGGGACAATAATTTAAAACAATAATATTTTTTTTTAATAAAAAATGTATTTGAAAATAATATTATAATGTATTGTGTAATCTATAATACTATAGACACAGCCAGTTTTACTCACTGAAAGATTTATTTGTGATAAAATAATTACTTTATAATTGTACTAGAGTTTTTATGGGAATGGCTTAATGGAGCGCAGGAGATAACTTAATCTTGACCCTTAAGAAACTGTGTCACCCGGCTGACACATAATAGTGTAACCCCTCTCTCCCGGGTCCTCACCGCCACACCTCATTCTCGTTCCGAGTAGGTCTCGAACACTGGTCTCCGGCATGGGAGGCGGATGCACTAACAAGGAGGCTAAAGACTGCAGCCACTAGCACATCTCTTGAGTAGGGGAGTGAGGTTTACCTGCACAGCACCTACCGCTGGCCTCCGTTACACTCACCCCCCTAACCCTCACTCCCATCCGGGTCTCCGGCATGGGAGGCGGACGCACTAACAAGGAGGCTAAAGACTGCAGCCACTAGCAAATATCCTACCTACCGCTGGCCTCCATTACACTAGCATACGCTGTTTACTCTCCAAAAGGGCACCAGGGTGATGCAGTGGAGACGAATTGTTGAATAGTTGTTATTTTTGTTTTCTTTAGGCACAAAAAGTATTCTCGTTGCTTCCTAAAAAAAGTACGGTTGAACCCCTAATGTCACATGGATTATTTTACCGATCTCCTTGTTACGTTTCTGGACCTTGATCGTGGTAATTACATTGCTTTCTATGGGAGGGTCAGAGAGCTCTCAGAATTCATCAAAAATATCTTAATTTGTGTTCTGAAGATGAACGGAGGTCTTACGAGTTTAGAACGACATGAGGGTGATTAATTAATGACATAATTTTCATTTTTGGGTGAACTATCCCTTTAAGTCATTTAATATCACCCTAACTGTATGTATACTACGGAGCCCCTAAAGCAGGGATCCTCAAATCTGGCCCACGAGATCCACTTTCCTGCAGAGTTTAGCTCTAACCCTAATCAAACACACCTGAGCAAGCTAATCTGTGTCTTCAGGATCATTAGAAAATCACAGGTAGCTGAGTTTGATCAGGGTTGGAGCTAAACTCTGCAGCGCATTGGCCCTCCAGGGCAATATTTGAGGAACCCTGCCCTAAAGGGACATGTTGGTGGGAGGAAAAAATATTATTATATAATATTGCATTATAATTATATAATATATATTATAATATTGCATTCTCTCACTCATTCTCGCAGGTTGCCCTGCCCTAATTGAACGTGTCTGTATGTGCCCCGTGGTTGCCAGGTGTTAAAGAGACGGTCGCCGTGATTTTGCCAAGTAAGACATGTTTCTGGATCAACATCTTTTGTTGATCCTGGATCAACATAACTGTCCAAAAATATAGACTAAACCCAATCCCTACCCCTAAGCCTAACCCTACCCATAATTTATTCCTAAAAACCGTGTAAACTGATAGCTGATTAACAAGGGTGTAGAAGCACCTAACCCTGATTGTAAGCCTAAAACAGATATTTACTGAAAAGTTATCCCTCAATTCTGATTGGTTGATAGGAATGTTGTTCAAGGATCAACAAGGATATTGATCCAGGAACATGTTGTACTTGGTGAAATCACGGTCACCTTTAAGAGACGTGTGCAAAACAAGTGTGACTGGTGTGACTCACCGGTATTTAACTGTCGATAATACAAAACATTCACTAGGTGTCAGTGTGAAATGTTTGAAGAGAATCCAGCATTTATATTTGCCCTCATCTTAAATCACACCTTACGGGTCTTTGCAGTCTCTTTCAGCTCCTGAGGGTCTTTCTTTCTCTCCTGGATTCTGTGTAGAAAATTTCATCCCGTTTACATAACATGACAGCTAAGACTTTGTTTATTCAGACATAACGTAGAACACAAATGCTCATTGCCACTTCAGACTCAAAGTAATGCATCCAATACATTTTTCTTTCTCGTCTTCTTTTATATATATATACGTATATATATATATATAATAGTATATTGTATGAAAAAAGAACGGACAAACAAAACTTTAAAATTTTCCAATACTTTAATCTGGTTTGGTTTCTAAATAAGTTATATACATAATCATACAACAGATAGATCCATTAATAGATCCACAAACCCGAAGGTATAATGCGTGTACACCGATAAAAATAATTTTGTGGTGAAGTAAATACTACATTAAATAATTTAGTTCAGGCAAGAATTAAAAAAATAAAGTAAATTTTATATTACTACTCAATTTAAGCTTGTAGAAATTAAAGTTTGAAATTATAAACATATTTTACTTGGAATTGTTTATTATGTTTACAAAGATTCATTAAGTAAATCTCAAAGTTATGATCCCGTTTTTCCCATCATGCACTGGGGCATGAATAATTAAAAAGGTTAAAGTTTTCACTGTTTTCGAGTTGTATTTACACTGTTTAATGGTTGATTTTGTCATTGGGTTTAGTAACTTACTGTTTTGTGATATCTGGAGTTAATTTTCTACTCAAAATGACCCATTTATACTCTGTACACTATCCACTGATTGTTGCCGTCATATATGATGTACCAAGTATTGAGGTCTCTGTGTTCATTTGGGTAATAATTCTATTGAGTGGACATATTATCTTCAAAAGTTAACAAGCTGTCTACTTGCTTACTTGTTAGCAAGTAAACCAAGTGCTTTAACAGCATGGATGTTTTCCAGTGCTACATTGTTTGAGTAAATATTATAAACTGTAATTGAGGGAAATGTGCTTGAGTATTGCATATTTAACAAGATAATTAAGTAGAAATTACTCATCAAACTCTAACTGGCCATGTTACATTTACTTATTTCCTTTGTTAAATTGACCTAACTTAGTTGAGTAGATTTTACTTAATTCAATACTTAAATTTTACTTAAAATGTATGTGTGCAAAAACTTGCAAAATAGAAATTAAGTAAATCTATTTATTGTTTTTTTCAGTGTAGGTCTTTTACTTGCGCTTCTGCAAAGTTCACTTAATTTATCAGGATTTAGTTTCTATTTTAGGCTAGCTCCGTGTTTAATCTGACTCAAATTTTCAAGTGATCATTAAATTTAGACTGTATTTCTAATTAAAAACTGATCACAAATATCGATTATGTATTAATTTAGATCTTTGATTATTCTGGACATCCCATACTTTCAGTTATTCGTTCATTCAATCATTCGTTCAAGGACCCGGTGTCGCATAGAAATTCATTCGGCCGATAGTGAACTCACAGACACAAACTCGCCAGTTCTGATCTTGCAAGGTGATTATATAACCTATAGTAGGCTGCTCTCTGCTTGCACATAACAAAAAGTTTTTAGTTTTTTTTTTGGAGTCACGAAACTGCAACTTGCTAAGTCAGTGATAGTCAGAAATTAGAAAGTCCTGAATGATATGCCCCATGCTCCATTCACTGGTACTTCTGAATGATCTATCCTAGACACAGATTTGTGGAATCACCAGACTGCACTTTAATCTACTAGAAATAATGATTTCAGGAGAACCCAGAATAAATCAAATATAACATTTTATTTGTCAGATAAAAATGTATCATGCCAATTACATAATTAATCAATGAGAGTCCAATGCAGAATTCAATTCAGTTCCATTTCAGATAAATGCATAACATCAATTGCTCAAAGATGAATCTAAGAGTGAGAGATGCATACCCGACAGCAGAGAAACACACAGCAGCATGTGAGAGATTTGGATGCAGAGCTCCAGAGACTCGCACACACTGTGTGGGGTTGTTCTGGTTACAGAATCCCCAATGACTGTAATGCCACTTCGCTTACTGTACTGTATATCCAGACCAGAACAAAGAAGTCTTCAAATCAGTTGTAAAAACATAAAATACCTTTTGGTTTGTCATGATCCCGTGACCCAAGGGTCACACCTGGCCGGAGAAGAGAAAACATTCTCACCAGACCCTGAGGGAGACACACCCCTCAGCAGCAGAACAGAATTCTTCTAAAGTTTTCAATCTTTCTCATAATATAATAGACTGCTGTGAAATTGAGACCATTTTACCAATCGCACAGAGACCTACAATGGTACTAAACATGACATGAAAAATAACAGATTCACAAGATACAGTGGGGAAAAAAAGTATTTAGTCAGCCACCAATTGTGGTGGTATATAGATAGATATTCTTGGTGAACTTTCAGTGAAGTCTGTTGGGGAGAGGGAGAGGGGGGTCATAAATGAACAAGGAGAGAAGTTTGGGCAAGGTGGTGTCATTTGCTCTTTTTGGAGATCTTTTCTCCAGATTAGTTTTATTGTTTTGTTGCATGGCATCTGTTTTGAGAGAGTTCCTGAATTTTGGCTCCATAAGAATATCAAAGCTTATACTTATATAATTACTGCCATATAGTGACATATTTGCACTTATCTCGCAGTTACACTGTTATTAGATTCCTCTGATGAGATTATTATTTATTGATTATTCAGTGATTTTATACTATATAACTTTATTGATGACACAGTTTCACTGTTGATCAGAAATCCAAATCCCGGATACAGTGGCTGAGTGAATGTGGTCTGGACTCTCTGGATGAGCGTCATTGTGTCAGAGACGCTGTAGAAGGACAGAATTCCTGCTCTGTGAGAGAGATCTGATGGGAATCTGATGTAAATAAATACAAATAATAATTTAATGTGATTACTATTTTCATAGTGACTTACATTGCAAGAACTCATCCCTAGTCTTGGTTTTATATGGGTTTGAATAATGTTGATATATGTTACTAAGAAAATAAACACATAATTACAATAATTCTCACTTTTTTATTATGCTTAAGTTTCTTCTACATTGTTACATATTTCTAAAAGTAAATTAATACCTCGACTAAATATATTTTCTACGGACTCTTAACTCTAGTTTTTCTTTCAGTCGAGAGACAGATTTCTCTGCATCATAAAGGACAGAACTCACAGTAACACTGATTAGTTCTGTAGATTCTGGAGGTTCAGGGAGACTGAAAGCTCTAGAAAAAAAACGAACACAAATATAAAACAATGACAGAAACGTAATTACCTGCTTCCTCCCCATCACCCAGATTGTTTATATACTTCTTTTTCTAAATGAATCTTAAGTGATTCTGTAGCACATCTAGCACCACGGTTTATAATTATGGTAAAATTAGGAAATAACTCTCTCTAATCAAATAACATAACTGCACTGTCTTGTTATTCAGATCTCAGTTACCTGTAGGAAATGGATGTGATCATCAGTGTGTGAAAGCTGCTCCAGGTCAGCATCTCTCCTCCTCAGATCATCAATCTCCTGCTGCAGTTGCTTCAAGAGTCTTTCAGCTCGCCTCACTTGAGCCTTTTCTCGATCTCTGATCATCTGTATCACCTCAGAGCAGCTTCTCTTAATGGAGCGGATCAGTTCAGTAAAGATCCTCTCACTGTCTGTACTGGCAGAGCGCTGTTACAACACACATAAAGAATCATTCAGTCTAGTCTGTTAGCCACAGTGGGCTTCAGCATGACTGCTTTTCTAATATCCAGCATTTATTTTTCTCCTCTGTTAACAACTCACCTTATGAGTCTCCAAAACCTCTTTCAGCTCCCGAAGCACTTTCTCTCTCTCCTGGAACTTTCTCTGTGTGTCTTCCAACAGTTTCTGTTGAACAAATGAGAATATATATATATATATATATATATATATGGACACTGTGTTAAACAGCTATGGCTCTATTATATTCTCAAATAAAATAAAGATTTTTTTTTTCTTCCCTACCTGTTTCTATGTCCTCTCTGATGTAGATGATACAGTGTCGTGATTTTTTATGTTCATCCATCGTACACGGTAAACAAATACACTTCTTGTCAGCACGACAGTAAACCTCCAGCAGTTTATCATGTAGAGGGCAGATCATCTTCTGGATTCGTCCAGAGGCATCAGTTATCTCGTGTCATTTACCTGTGCAAAAAGCCTTGTGACACTCAAAGTGAGTTTGACAGTAAGACTCCAGACACTTGATGGCTTTATATTTTCTCCCAGTGCAGACAGCACACTCCACACTCCAGGTTCGGGAGGAGCCTAAACATCCAGTCCTGTCAATCATAACTACAACTGTATATAAGCAGCAGCCATTGTTCCGTTCGAGCAACAGTTCTTCCGGCATCCCTCCACCTCCACTTCTCCTCCTCTAATTCCTAATCTTTTTTTCCTCCACACTGTACCATCATGGGGGGGGGGGTTGTTACTCAGAGCTCGAGCCGAGCCTCGGGTTCGAGCCTCCTTCTCGGACAGCAAGCTAAGCTCGTTTATCATTATCTGGCAGGGCTGAATGGGAAATTCTTGTTTATAGCAGGTCTTTGAGTGAAGGTCTGTCTGCACTGAGGGCAGCTGTAAACTCCTTTCTGATCATTTTTAGTCCAGTAGTCTGTAATGCAGTTCATACAGTAACTGTGTCCACAGGGGATGGTCACTGGATCCTTCAGTAGACCCAGACAGATTGGACAGCTGAACTGATCCTGCGCCCATAAAATACTGGCTTCTGCCATTTCATAGACACATAAAACAACTATTCAATCAAGTATGTTCTGGTGTTCGTTCAACTGAAGATAGAAATGTGTTCTTTATTCTGTGTTTGAGAGCAATGTGCACAAAATAGCTGTGCGTCTAAAATGTATTTTATTGCCAAAAGATATTAAAGTCTCAATTCCACTCTGTGTGACTCCCTCATTGAAACTCAAAAACCAATAGTTACCAGTTAATAAGTTACATTTAGTACATTTGCACGGCTTTGACCAGCGGTTGTCGCTTGTAAGCCGCACTCTTCTTCTCCGCTGCTTGACGCATGCATGGAAGCATAGAAGTAACATAATGTTTCTCACTGATACGAGAGAAGTAACATTATTATGATATTATTATGATACAGTTTCTCATTATTATGAGATATTAAGCCACTATTATGAGAACGTTTCTCATTATTATGATGTAAAGATTCATATTTTTTACTTAACTGTGGTGGGGACGGACCTCTGTACTTACGCCCTCAGACACTCTATGTCACTTGATGAAAAGATTCCCGTGGCGACACAACATCACACGGCTGGGAAAGACTCTCAGCCAATCAGATCCGAGGATCAGAAGTCACTGTTGTAAATGTATAATGGACACACACAAAGAGTGGGCACAAAAAAAAATCTGACTGTGTATGATTCGTCATGTAGCTCAAACCTTGGATCATGTACCAAGAACATTTGTAAAATTTCAATCTACTCTCTCAGATTACACAGTTTAAATGTTGATCTCAAATATATCCTAAATCCCGGATAGAGTGGTTGAGTGAATGTGGTCTGGACTCTGTGGATGAGGTTCATTGTGTCAGAGACGCTGTAGAAGGACAGAATTCCTGCTCTGTGATCCACATACACTCCTATTCTACAGGAGTTGGGGAATATAGGGATATTAGTCTTTATGCTATTGTGCAAAAATAAGTGACTGGATTGAGAGCACTGCAATTTCCAAGACTGATCATCATATCCAAATAAACAATCTTTAGTTTCTCCCTTCCTGGTGATGCTCTTATATGACACTGATATTCCCACACCACCACTCCACTCCACCTCCCAGTAACAGCGTCCAAACACTCTTTCTCTGCACAACACCTGAGGCCAAACATCAAATCTGTCTGGATGATCTGGATACGGCTGCTCTGTGTGAGTGTATGTAGCCACTCTATTTTCCTGAGACAGACAAAGCTGTTTATGCAAAGTGTTTAGATCCAGAGTGAGCTGATGGGAATCTGATGAAAATAGAAATGTAATTTTAATTTTAACTGTTTAATTTAAATCTCAGTTTGTATAGTACATGCATGTTGTATGAGTCTGAGTTCGTTGATTTTGAAGGGAAGTATAGCTAAATCACCAAATCATTAAACAAATACAGAATATAAAAATGAAACTCTAAAAATATATCTATACTCTTGCTTTCTCTTTCGTTTATTTAATTTGTTGCTAAAACATTATTACCTTGCCATATAACCTTTCCATAAATCAATAATATGTGGTCTACTAGAGCTACAGAGATGGAGACAGGATATTTAACACTAAACCTTCTGAAACCTATAGTCATGATATTTTTAATTTTTAAACATATTTTCTTAAACAATATATAGAGTATACAGTATATTTAAAATGAGTATATATAACATCTAATTCTTATGTAATGAACTGTTTAATAATCAGTGTTTAAAAAAAAAGCCTTTTATCATACTCTCCATTTCTCTCTCTCTCTCTCTCTCTCTCTCTCTCTCGCTCTCTCTGTGTGTGTGTGTGTGTTTTCATAGTGACTTACACTGTAGGAATTCCTCCCTGGTCCTGGGTTCATTATTGGAAAAAATGTTGATGTATGTTACTAAGAAAATAAACAAATGTAGTTAGAATAGTTATTATTCATTTTAATAATTATAGGAAACAAGTATTACTTTCATACTGTATTTTACTATACTCCAGTTTCTTCAACATTGTTACAAAATATTTTTTTTTCTGAAAGCAACTGTTTTTGTCACTGTACCTCCACCAGATAACCGTTCTGTTTTCTCTTTACAGATCTCCTCCAATATTTCTTTCAACTGAGAGACAGATTTTCTCACATCATCATAAGGGAGGACAGGACTGACAGCAACTCTGGGAACATCTGTATATTCCAGAGGTTCAGAGAGAGACTGGAAACTCTAGAGAGAATAAATACAGAAACATCAAAGATAAGAAGAAACAAAAACTTCATTACCAACATCCTCCCCTATATTTTATTGCACCTATTTTCCCTATAGCATGTCCAGCTTGTCAACCAGGGGTTTGTAAACCCTTGGTGTCACTGCATAGTCGTTTCACGTCCATTGATGATAATTATATTTTTTGTAAAAAAAAATCCTGAAAAAATCTTATTTTTTCCATTAAGGGTAAGTATAATATTATCCATATTATAATTATAAACACAACTATTTTGTGCCCTTTTGTTTCAGTTTGCTTGAAATTACCTTGATGTCCCCTAAATTACTGTTCCCTTTCAAGGAAACTTCGAACTGCATCCTCTAGGGGTCGCTATGGGGTACACCTCATCATGACACGTGTCTGAAGCATACATTCAAAAAAACACCAACAACATGTTGGCCGGCGGCAGCCCATGAAGTCACTACCGGTGCGACTATAGTATAAACAGGCACCAGGAGAACATGTCATTCTCTTCTTCGTCTTCATTGACTGTTTTGTTTGATAGACTGCATAGTCGTTTCACGTCCATTGATGATAATTATATTTTTTGTAAAAAAAAATCCTGAAAAAATCTTATTTTTTCCATTAAGGGTAAGTATAATATTATCCATATTATAATTATAAACACAAATATTTTGTGCCCTTTTGTTTCAGTTTGCTTGAAATTACCTTGATGTCCCCTAAATTACTGTTCCCTTTCAAGGAAACTTCGAACTGCGTCCTCTAGGGGTCGCTATGGGGTACACCTCGTCATGACACGTGTCTGAAGCATACATTCAAAAAAACACCAACAACATGTTGGCCGGCGGCAGCCCATGAAGTCACTACCGGTGCGACTATAGTATAAACAGGCACCAGGAGAACATGTCATTCTCTTCTTCGTCTTCATTGACTGTTTTGTTTGAAGCGTGCGTTCCGTGGTAAGAGCTATCTTTCTTCCTTCATTATGGCGAGCACTAGCAAGACGTTTAGAAGATGTGTGCATCCGTGTCGTCGTTATTTGACGCCTGATGACACATGATCTTTGCGTCTTTTGTTTGGGCGAAGAGCATGCACGCGATGTCCACGAGGGGGCAATCTGCGTTAACTGTGAGCGTTTCCGATGAAAAAACGCCGCTCTCATTTATCTCTCTTTTCGAGGAGAGAGGGGCACCGTCTGCTCCCCGCAGTTCAGGACCCGCCGCTGCTGAGGCATGGAGGAGAATGAGCTCGTGGGGATCGGGATCTTGCCATTTTATCCCCTTCAGGATACATCTCGCTTAAATGGCAGGGCATACGCAGCAGCAGGTCAGGCTGTCGCTTCCTTGCACACGATGGCGGTGCTTCAGGCGTATCAGGCTGATCTACTGAAAGACCTGGATAAAGGCGAGGGCCTTTCTCCCGATGAGGTAGCTGAGTTGTGCCGCACCACAGATCTCGCTCTCCGTGCTACTAAGCAGGCCGCCTCTGCTATGGGCACGGCTATGGTGGTAACGGAGAGACATCTGTGGGTGAACCTGGCAGATATCGGGAAGAAAGAGAGGGGCTTTCTTCTCAATGCTCCGGTTTCGCCTTCCGAACTTTTCGGTACCTCCGTCGAGACGGTGGTTGAGAAGTTCAGGGAGGCGAAGGCACGCTCAGCGGCCTTCAAATCCTTCATTCCACGAAGGTCCAGGTCTGAGCCCGAATAACCCAGGGGTCCTGGCCCGTCTCGGTCTGAGGATCAGAGATGGGCACAGAAGGCTAGTGTCGCGGCTTGCGCTCCTCCCTCGCCTGTGGTAGGGGTAGGAGGAATCGCGGGTCAAAGGGAGGTAGGCAAGACCTAAGGGATGTGATCCAGACGAGGCGTCAGCGCTTTCGTCCGGATCAGAGTGATACTTGAGTATCTACTCATTTCCCTTGGGGGATTTAACATCTGCCCTTATCTTCTCCTTCCTAATTCCCCTTTAACACTATCTCTCCACCTGACCGAGGTCAGGTAGGAACTTCCTGCATTACAGTCTCCTATGCTGGACCTATGATGTTTCGGTTGGTTCTATGGCTTCATAGTAACCACCTTACTGATGGTCCGGACTAGAGGCTTCTTCGGGTAGATCCATTTTTATAAAAATATATATTTAATACGCTGGTGGTTGTGTGTATTCCATCTGCGAGCTTTCTTTGCAGTGTTTTCCGGGACCTGTGTGTTTCTGTTTTTTTCTAGGATAGGTCCTTGGTGAGCACCCCCTCTGCTGGATTCAGAAACCAGGTTCTCGACTTGCAGTGATTACCTCACTCGTCGATGTTGTATCCAGTCGATATGATAGCCCTGGTTCCGGCTTCATGCTTCCTGGATCATGCGGCCAGATCACAGGCTTCTGCGGGAGCCTTCTTGATCATCAGGCCCCTGGCATGGCACTGCAAAATTTCCTGGACGTCCGGGCTGGGCTTATGCTTTCAGGCTGCCCTGTCTTGTAAGCCGTATCTAGGTCGCCATGAGGGGCTTCCTGGTCACCAGGATATCCCCTCTTGCTTCGAGCATCGAGCGGGAAGTATAGGTGGCATTTGTGAGAACCTTCTTGTGAAATGCTGTCTCAGGCAGTGCTCCCCTCATCTCAGAGGGTTATCTTTGAGCTTGCCACTCAGCACGCTACTCCTTTCTGAATTCGGAGTTCTCCTCTCACGTGACAGTTGAGTTCTCTGTTTTCCCAGAGCACCTGGAACCGGCAACATCGGGCGAATTAGGCCCTTCCTCTGCCTCCCTGGTGTGCCGAGTTTTTTGCTATGCTTGCAGTACGCTTACCCTTCTGATTTCTAACGAACATGCTGTAGGTCGAGCCCCCTCTCATCTGAGAGCTGGGTGTATTGCTCCCTCAGCTAGGTAACTTACTGCTAGCCATACTAGCATTTTACTATAGATCGAGCTGATGGCTTCTCGAACATTTTGTTCTGGTGATGTACCATTTCCATCTATGGGCTGCTCTTTCAGAGCGCCATGAGAGCCCCTTAGGACGGTATCTTTAAAATCCATGTTATGGTAAGTGTGCACTTTGTACACTTGTCTTTGTACACTTTCTAAAATCCACACTGTGGTAAGTTCGCAATCTAGTACTTTGCGTTCTTTCTAAAATCCTGTATGGTGAGAGTTACGCGCGGCAGCTTTGTGCCCTTTTTTTGAGTTGGTTAAAGCCCCAGTTCCACCTTGGGTACCACTCCACCTATGTATCCTCTGGATACCTACTTTAACAGGGTGTTGCTACTAGGGGTCTGTTGAGACAGTTCCTTCAGCAAGCTCATGCAGAGCAAGCGGTAGACCCTGTGTGACAGGCCAAGACTTAGTATGATGTTAGGCTCTTGGTCGTATCCACTTAAAGGAATCTATTCCTGATTCCAAGCCTTGAGCTCTACCTCGGGCCCAGGAGTCTGGCCCTAACAGGTACGTTTTTGGGGTTTGTAGCATAGGCCTTTGGCCGTAGGGGATAATGTCACGGACAGCCGTCTAACGTCCTAGGGGCAACTCCCATGGCTACGGTAGAATTGGTACTTAGTGCTCGCCATAGGTTTCTGGCATGCACTCCCCTCAGGTATACCATTCCCCATAGCGACCCCTAGAGGACGTAGTTTGAAGTTCCCTTGAAAGGGAACATCTCAGGTTACTTATGTAACCATCCTTCCCTGAGTATGGAACGAGACACTGCGTCCTCTAGGTTTCCTGCCATGCTTCGGACGCAAGCTTCAGACGAAGAAGTGTTAAAATCCATGTTTTTTAACATGGATTTTGTGTTCGCCCGGCGGCTATTTATACTATAGTCGCAACGGTAGGGACGTCATGGGCTGTCGCCGGCCAACATGTTGTTGGTGTTTTTTTAATGTATGCTTCAGACACGGGTCACGACGAGGCGTTCCCCATTGCGAACCCTAGAGGACGGGTTCATGCTATTTAAAGGGGTGGTTTATTGCAATTTCACTTTTTTAATGTTAGTTAGTATGTCATGTTGCTGTTTGAGCATAAACAATATCTGCAAAGTTACGAAGCTGAAAGTTCAATGCAAATGTCTTTTAAAATTCTAGCAGTTTAATGCCTACAAAAACAGCTGGTAGGGACTACAACAAGTTACTTCCCGGGTTTGTGACATCTCAAACCCAGATAAACCCCGCCCCCGGGAACACGCAACGAAGGGGGCAAGGCCAATCAGGCCATGCTGCGCTGCTTTAGAGAAGAGGAAGAGAAAACTAGACGTGCATGTAAAAATCGATTCATATATGAATCGCGATGCTGTCTTCTAATGATTCTAATGGATTCATAAGTTTCAAAATCAATGTTCTAAAGCAGCAGTTCTTAATACTGTTCCTCGCGTCCCCCTGCTCTGCACACACTCTGCATCTCTCTCTCTCTCTCTTTCTCTCATTCAGCTCAGCTCCAACAATGAACTGTTACAATTCTACACTTATTTTCACATAGCTATGAGAAGCAGTAAACATGGACGCGTGTGCAGTTGCCGTACTGTATTAAAGCTTTAATCAGGATAAAACCGTACGTCCTAGGGGCAACTCCCATGGCTACGGTAGAATTGGTACTTAGTGCTCGCCATAGGTTTCTGGCATGCACTCCCCTCAGGTATACCATTCCCCATAGCGACCCCTAGAGGACGTAGTTTGAAGTTCCCTTGAAAGGGAACATCTCAGGTTACTTATGTAACCATCCTTCCCTGAGTATGGAACGAGACACTGCGTCCTCTAGGTTTCCTGCCATGCTTCGGACGCAAGCTTCAGACGAAGAAGTGTTAAAATCCATGTTTTTTAACATGGATTTTGTGTTCGCCCGGCGGCTATTTATACTATAGTCGCAACGGTAGGGACGTCATGGGCTGTCGCCGGCCAACATGTTGTTGGTGTTTTTTTAATGTATGCTTCAGACACGGGTCACGACGAGGCGTTCCCCATTGCGAACCCTAGAGGACGCAGTGTCTTGTTCCCTACTCAGGGAACCATGGTTACATAAGTAACCTGAGACGTTTTGCAGTGTCTATTTTTGAACTGAGTGTGTATCAAGTTGAAAATAAAGAATAAAAAGAAAGTTGCAATCAACATTACCTACAGTTTATTTCTAAAATCTAAATATTGAGTGTGTGAGTGTGTGTGCATGGGTTAATGATCGTGATCACTTATGTTCTAGACTTGTGTTATGGGGTCCCTGGGTCGGTTCACAGCCTCAACTCCAGCAGTATCTGTACTGTATTAATTTTGTAAGTTTAATTTCAGGCCCATGCTATTTAAAGGGGTGGTTTATTGCAATTTCACTTTTTTAATGTTAGTTAGTATGTCATGTTGCTGTTTGAGCATAAACAATATCTGCAAAGTTACGAAGCTGAAAGTTCAATGCAAATGTCTTTTAAAATTCTAGCAGTTTAATGCCTACAAAAACAGCTGGTAGGGACTACAACAAGTTACTTCCCGGGTTTGTGACATCTCAAACCCAGATAAACCCCGCCCCCGGGAACACGCAACGAAGGGGGCAAGGCCAATCAGGCCATGCTGCGCTGCTTTAGAGAAGAGGAAGAGAAAACTAGACGTGCATGTAAAAATCGATTCATATATGAATCGCGATGCTGTCTTCTAATGATTCTAATGGATTCATAAGTTTCAAAATCAATGTTCTAAAGCAGCAGTTCTTAATACTGTTCCTCGCGTCCCCCTGCTCTGCACACACTCTGCATCTCTCTCTCTCTCTCTTTCTCTCATTCAGCTCAGCTCCAACAATGAACTGTTACAATTCTACACTTATTTTCACATAGCTATGAGAAGCAGTAAACATGGACGCGTGTGCAGTTGCCGTACTGTATTAAAGCTTTAATCAGGATAAAACCGTGTATTAAAAGCTAACATAAGCAGTAGCATTTACAAATAACAGCATATCTAAATGTATGAGACAACAACAAACAAGAAACATAGGCCTACCATTAAAAGCCGTGCTTGCACAGGTTCTGCACGATCCTCTTCAATAATATCCTCTGCTTCTCAGTCGGGCTCAAACTGATAAGCGATATTAACGACACTGTTGTTTACAATACAATAGAGATGAGGGGCGGGACGATTAGACGCACACTAGAGGCGGTTTAGCCAATCACAACACACTGGGCTAGCTAACCAATCAGAGCCCATCGCCTATTTCTGAGGGTGGGGCTTCATAAAGCAGGAAATGATCAGGCGTTTCTCAGAGAAGGGACAGAGAGGTGTGGAATAAAGGAAAATTATGTGAAAAATAATGCGTTTTTTTTAACTAAACATTAACACATGTTAGGCTGCACCCCATAAACACAATCAAGCCTAGAAAAAAAAACAGTGAACCACCCCTTTAAGTAATTATCACTTACACACACTATACACTTTTTCAGTCACTAGTCTATAAGAAAGAATCTGCTTTAAATCAACATTGGGAAAGGAATGTCAATATAAAAGAGAAATGTAAAAGTCACTATGACATCAAAATTGAAAATGACAAAAATTACAAGATCTGAACAATTTGTGTCGGTGTATACTATATAACTGGTCTGAGACTAAACTTGAACTGTTTTTTTATACCATACTGTTGTTTTTATATATACAAAACAAAACTGATATGTTTGTATGGTTTATTTTAGTGTCTCAGGTAATAGTTTTATAATATTACACTAACAAATGTAAAAGTCACTATGACATCAAAATTGAAAATGACAAAAATTACAAGATCTGAACCATTTGTGTCGGTGTATACTATATAACTGGTCTGAGACTAAACTTGAACTGTTTTTTTATACCATACTGTTGTTTTTATATATACAAAACAAAACTGATATGTTTGTACGGTTTATTTTAGTGTCTCAGGTAATAGTTTTATAATATTACACTAACAGTAAAATTAGGAAATACCTCTTTAGTCAAAAGACATTGCTCAGGACAACAGTCCTGTTAGTCTCTGCTACCTGTAGGAAATGGATGTGATCATCTGTGTGTAAAAGCTGCTCCAGCTCAGCATCTCTCCTCTTCAGATCATCAATCTCCTGCTGTAGTGGCTCCAAGAGTCCTTCAGCTCGACTCACTTCAGCCTTTTCCTGATCTCTGATCATCTGTGTCACCTCAGAGTGGCTTCTCCTAATGGAGCGGATCAGTTCAGTAAAGATCCTCTCACTGTGCTCCAATGCCGCCTTTGCAGAGCGCTGTTATGACACACAGACAATAAGATCATCAGTCTGTTAGCCACAGTGGGCTTTAGTGGAACTGGAAAATGTTGTCTAACACTAACCAGATTAGTCTGAGTCTCACCTTGTGAGTCTTAATAGCCTCTTTGAGCTCTTGACGATTCTTCTGTCTCTCTTGGATTCTCTTCTGGCATTTTTCTTTTATCTCTCCAACCTGATTCTGAAGCATGGAAAAAATTTACACATTAGAAAACTTCAGTCATCCTCAATTGACTCAAAATGTTTTAGTGTGAGAAGATGATCAGTTATCATCAGTTTGTTTGAATGGTTTCCAGAGATCTCAAATATATTAATATTAATATGTGATATAATCTCATCATAGATTGCCTAATTGGCTTAATAACTGCAATCAACACAGTTTACTTATATGTGCATACCTGTTTCTCTGTCCTCTCTGCTTCAGCAGAAACAGCATCGTGATTTTTGTGTTCATCCATCACACACATCAAACAAACACATCGCTTTTCAGTTCGACAAAAAACCTCCAGCAGTCGGTCATGTTTAGAGCAGATCATCTTCTGGAATCGTCCAGCATCAGTTAGTTTATGCCGCTTAATTAAATGAGATTCCTCATGACACTCAAAGTGAGTTTGACAGTAAGATTCAAGACACACCAGACAGGACTTTACAGCTTTGCGTTTCCTTTCAGTACAAATATCACACTTCACATCTCCAGGTCCAGCGTAACTGAGAGCCATCTGGACTTTTTTCTTCTTCAGTTTCTCCACCATTTCAGTAAACATTACATTCTTGTTTAAAGCAGGTCTTAGAGTGAAGGTCTGTCTGCACTGAGGGCAGCTGTAAACTCTCCTTGGATCATCTTTAGTCCAGAAGTTTTTAATGCAGTTCATACAGTAACTGTGTCCACAGGGGATGGTCACTGGATCCATCAGTAGATCCAGACAGATAGAACAGCTGAACTGATCCTGAGCCACTGAAATACTGGTTTCTGCCATGTTCCTCCACATACATACAGATACAGACAACGGCTGGAACAACGCATACGTTTCAGGTTCTCTCAACTAAATTTCCTGTTTTGAGATGTGTGCAAAAAAGTGTGTTTGTCAAAATGTGTGTCTCTTTGACCACAAAGAACATCCTGCTATAAAAAAAACCCCAGCTAAAACCAGCCTAAACTGGTTGATTGGTTTTTATAGCAGGATGTCAGAACAGCTGAACTGATCCTGAGCCACTGAAATACTGGTTTCTGCCATGTTCCTCCACATACATACAGATACAGACAACAGCTGGAGCAACGCATACGTTTCAGGTTCTCTCAACTAAATTTCCTGTTTTGAGATGTGTGCAAAAAAGTGTGTTTGTCAAAATGTGTGTCTCTTTGACCACAAAGAACATCCTGCTATAAAAAAAACCCCAGCTAAAACCAGCCTAAACTGGTTGATTGGTTTTTATAGCAGGATGTCATCCAGCTTGATCATAGCTGGTCAGCAGGCTGGTTTTAAAGGGGTTTTGGTCACTTCTTTAACTGGTCAGGCTGGAAGACCATCTGGCCAACCAGCTAAGACCAGCCAATCAGCTTAGCGTGAGTGGATGCTGTTACTGGGAGGTCGAGTGAAGTGGTGGAAATATCTGTGTCATATAAAAGCATCAGCAGGAAGGAACGGGGTGGAGAAAGTAGATTTGGATTTAATGATCAATCCTGGAAATGTTTATGTACTTCATCTAGTTACTAATTCTGGCACAATTATAAAATGACTGAACTCCCTATATTCCCCAGCTTCTATAGAATAGGGGAGTGTATGTGGATCACAGAGCAGGAATTCTGTCCTTCTGCATCTCTGACACAATGACCCTCATCCACAGAGTCCAGACCACATTCACTCAACCGCTCTATCCGGGGTTTGGAGTTTATTTTGGATCAACACTGAAATGCTGTCATCTAACAATATAGATGATGCAGATATTCTATCATATCAAGTTTTTTCTCCTTACATCAGTAAACAGTGAGATGTTTCAGAAATTGTATAAAACTATCTATACTTCGGTTTTGTTTTCCCTGAAATGAAGAGATCAAATAGTTTCCTGTTGTTTAAGAGATGTGTGCAAAACAGGTAGGTGATACGTCCTGTGTGATTTGCCTGTATTTTACTGTAGATAATAAAGAACATCCATAGGTGTCAGTCTCACGCTGAAGCCAAGGCAAGATGATGGACTGGTAAGAGACTTGTCATTCATCAGACACACACATATTACAGTTTTTTTTTAATTGCTAACAAGCATTGTTCAATACTGAAGCCACATTTTCAAAACTGTTCACACATTCAGCGGTACAGAAGTCTATGCTAAACAAACTATGAATCATTTTTCATTGCTTTCAGACAAAATGCATTCAATGACCACATTTCTCAAAATCCACAAACACTTTTGTCATTAATACTCCACAACCTGCAAACACTATGTATTTTCAGCACATTTTTCAAATGCTAGCACACTGCTTTCAAAACTGATAAAAGCACATTAAAATCAGAACAATGATAAACTCTGTCCATTTCTGCAGGAATTATATTGAAATATAAAATCTTAGCAGAATATTTACTGTGAAATTAAATAATAATTATTCCAAACACAACTAACAGCAATTTCACCTGAAACCCAAGCCAGATTGTCCTATTGTCATATCCTATTCGCAGTTTTTTTTTTCTTGGTGATCTTTTTGATAAACAAATGGGATGGATGCCTTCAGAATGATTTTGTTTGGAAACATGGATCAAGGAAGTCACATTGGTGGGGACAAAAGAGTGACAGAGAGGGAGGACTAGAACCCTCACAGTACTGTACATCCATCCATCTATTCCATATATTTTCCAAAGCACTTGTCCTATAGGGTCATGGAGAGGCTGAAACCTTACCTGGGTCATAGGCAGGAAAACCCCCTGGACAGATGGCCAGTCCATCACAGGGATGACACACACACACACATTCATTTTCACACTCACTTACAATCTCCAGGGGTGTATTCCAGAAAGTGGGTTTTGTTGGAAACTCAGAGTTTGTTAACCCCAGAAAAGGGAAACTCAGTGTTTTCGGTTCCAATAAAAGACCAAACTAAACCTCTTGGTAAGTTACCATAGTAACTTACTCTGTGAACCTAACTTGGGGCCTGTACCATGATGGTGGCTGAACAAACTCAGGGTTACAGGATTAGTTTTGAGTTGACAAAACCAAACCACTCCAATCCGGCTTTGTTGGTACCATGAATCTGGTCATCAACTTTCTCTGTCAACTCAGGCTTGATCCTGAGTTAATGGGGCACGTGCACATGAAAGTGTGACATCAGTAATGAACAGCCAATCCCATGCCTTTAAACTGTGATTCACTTCTCGCAAGAGAGTCAGTGCGATTCACTACCAAAGATTAAAAGATAGAACAATATGAAGAATTTAAACACATTTACGTGAGATGAAACGATCTTTCCATGAAAGAGGGAAACTTAAAGAAAACATCTTGCCATATAAGTGCAAGTAAAAGTTGTAAAGTTAGTTTATAGAGTTGATAATATTTATAGGTATAAAAACACTTAAAAATCTAAGCTCATATGTTGTCATGTTTAAAGTTATTGATTCTAAAACTTATTTATATTGCATATTATCTATATGTTTATATTAATTTAAAATAAAAGCTTGATAATTACTATTAAACTAAGCTAGCTTGTGTAATGGATTAAGCGTATAATAATTAAATCATATAAAATAATTATAAAAAATAATCATCTCTAAAAATCAGACAATGTTATCTTTAAAAGGGTTTTACTATGTAGCGTCCTTTATCTAGTAGGAAGAAAAACTGGGGGAGTGGCTTTATTGCATCAGACATGTGTCACTTTGCTTGAAGTTGATTGGTCAAATTTCGGGTTGAGATTTCTAAACCAGAACCATAACCTGCCCCAGAGAAGGTTAGCTGTGGAGCGTAAGTTACTATGGTGATGAACACCACTAAAAGCCACTTCACTTTCATGGTACCTAAAACCCAGGATTGGTGCAAACTAAACTGAAACTTACCTGGCTATAGCCAGCTAATCCGGCTTCATGGTACAGGACCCTGGTCGGAAGCAGGTTTTCTTCAGTAAACCCAGTTTCTTTGGGTCTCCTCCCCCTTTTTAAAGCATAAGCGATGTTTAAATACCTCATTCATTCATTCATTCATTCATGCTGCAAAAATGCTTTTATTGTTGAGATTTTTGCCTTATTTCAAGTACAAACATCTAACAATTCTTAAATCAAGATGCATTTTCTATATAAAAAAATTAAATACAATATTTAGTCTTGTTTCCTGGGGGAAACAAGTAAAATTATCTGCCAGTGGGGTAAGAAAAATAATCTTAATGCATATGGAAACAAGATTATTTTTCTCACCACACCACTTTCATTTTCATCATGCAGACATTGTAAATGTGACAAAAAATGGCATGTCTTTTTACACGGGATCCTGTAGATGAGGAGGCTGCATTAATTCACAGAGAGTTACATTTACACCAGGAGAGGAATTTATTTTACTTTATTTTATTTTGCCAAATCCACATGCATATTTATTTGAGCGGTACCACTTTTAAATGACGTTCACTTGATAACATCTTGCTGTGAACTCTGGACATAACCTAATAATTAGAATTTCCTTTAGGATTTCCAGTGTGGTTGGATGCATTGATGACACGCATATTCCTATCATTGCGCCTTCCGAAAATGAAACTGATTACTGTATGGAATGGAAGGATGTCAGATGGAAGGGTAGTACGAGATAGGCTATATGCCGTAACCTCCACAGCTGTTAAATAAACAAATTATTCACTATTAATTTGGTCATCTTTATTTCCTACAAATACAAAAGCAACAATTACTCTTTTCCCTGTTGGATTTTAATATTGGTATTGTGGCCATCTCCTCTTCATCTGTCAGTGGTGCTGGTGCAGGTTCTCCCCTGCACGCCCCTTGAATCTCTACCTTCTTGCTGTTGGCTGAGTAGAAATCAAATGTTTATTTCATTACACTAATTAAGAAATGTATGTTGGATTAGAGAACATATTTAGCCTAATTATGAAAGAGCATTAGATTATGTAGAAAATCTGCTGCACATTGAAATAGACACTAAATTATATTTATTGAATATGTCAAATGTTTGTAAAATCATGTCTACACCCATGAACCTTTTACACTTGAAGCTTTACCTGATTGAATTATGTTTTGTTTAGTTTTTTCCCCCGTGAGATAGCCTACCATGAAAATGAAGATTGGTCCAATAACTTGCCGTTCTGCCAGTTTTCACCTCTGATATTCTAATAAATTAAAGTTACGTATTGCGCAGTATGTGGAAGTCTTTTTTTCGGGTGCTGTTGCCATGGTGAATCATAATTTCGGGAGCTCCATTGATCGTGGCTTTTCATAGTCATGGTGCACACGCTAAACTCAGAGTCAACATACTCAGAGTAGGTTGAACTAACACAATTCAGCTGTTCTGAAACCGAAAACTCAAGAGTTTCCCATCTCAGGGTAAGTCAACTCAGAGTTCAAGTTTTAACTCAGAGTTTGTTGAACCTCCTTTCTGGAATACACCCCAGTTCACCTGTCTGGTATGTCTTTGGATTGTGGGAGAAACCCAGGGGAAACCAACGCCAACACAGAGAGAACATACAAACACCACAGAGAAAAGCCTTCTTGGGCCGGTTTCAATAAGGAGGTTCAACCAATTCTTAGTTGAATCTTGAACTCTGAGTTGACTTACCCTGAGATGGGATATATAATATAAGTGTGTGCAGTTCTGCTAAGCTGTGGAAACTTCTCTCCTATTCTCCACAAAGTAAGTAAAATAGACAATGAATTTATATTTCATATTGTTAGATTTTTTTAATTATTACTTGGGTTTATAAACATACCCAGTCACAGAAAAATATTAAAACTGTCCCACAAGATTGTGAAGGGCTCACATACTGTCCATTTGTACT